TTTTTGTGTACATATTGATGGCGTAGACGAGATCTTGGGATCATTTTGTGTAATGTTCCTTTACGCAACATACTTTCCATGGATAAGAAGCCAGTGTTACACCAGATTCAGTTTTTTCCCCTTTGAACCTAGCCGAGGAGCCGAGATGTCTCTCTCTCTTCGCACAGTTTGGCACGTAACCATCGAGCTTTATAGTGATCGGCAGAAAAGCTCAGAGAGACGACAAAAGCCCTTACCAAATTACTTGCAGAAGTTTTTGTTGGGCTAGTTATGTTGCAAACTTTCCCCACTACTTAGTTGTTTTATTGTTTCTCCATGATGTATAAGAGAGGTTGGGAACAGATTCAGTGGTATTACAGAAGCCTTAGGCCTGGAAAAAGGAGCTTTTTCGAAGCCTAACAGCAAAATGACCTCTAAACACCGTCTTTAGCGATGGCAGTGCTACACTATGATCAGCGCGAATCTCTGAACACCTATCATCAAAAGTAGTGTGTCCCGCTCATCTGTTCGATCAGCCATAATCCTACTAGTTTATGTTTTTTTGGATTGTATCTTTCCTCGAGGGACACCACAAATGCTGGATCATCGCTGTAAAACTAGTTTTGTTTGCGAAAAGTACCATGTCATTCTCAATGGAAACTCAAATGAAGGGGAAGCATCCGGAAGTCTCCGAACCTCCCAGATTTCTTTAATTTGATGGACAGTTTGCTGAGCACTTCACTCTACTACTACAAAGGTGTCGAATTTCTCGAGTTCGATGTTTTGTACGCACTTTTTCTAGGATTTCTTGCTTCTCGAACATGTAGGTCCTGCTTCGCTACTAGAAGCTAACTTCCTAGTCATTGTGAAACGAAAAACTGATGTAGTACAAGAGCAAAACAGGGGAAGAGCCGCGTCTAATTAAAGAAGGCTCTATCGCTATTTGTCGCCATCGTTTAATCGTTTTTTTCCAGCATTTCCAGATTTGTGGATTTTATAATCTTCTGGCGTTAGGATGAAAAACGCTGTCTGGCGAAGGCTTTCTGTTTCTCCATCAAATGACAGTGGCTCTCAAGTTAGGTGTAACCATAGTCACGACTTTTCTTGGAGCATTTGCTGCATGCCGGCTCTTCTGACCGCTTCTTATCTCCTGCAGCGCTGGCGCTAACCACAAATCGAAGTGAAAGCGGGCAAAAAAAAATATACGGCCCTCATATCCGTCCAAAGCAGTATAGTCACTATCGTAGCAAATGGTTGGCGAAGCTACAAAAGTTTTACATTTCAAAGATATGATGTTATGGCAATGTTTCCAGTTGGATAGTTTGAAGTTTACGGACTATAATCAAGCAGTTAAAGGTCATCACAGCTTTAGCATTTCGACGAAATTTTGGATTGAAAAGGCATAAGTGATGTAAACAAGTTCGATTCCGATGCCTGTGTTCTTCTCATTTCTCGTTGTATCTTGTTATTGATAAGTGCGCTGTGAGAGATAGCTATTTGTTGACGTAAACGACCAGTCAGCTACTACACACGCATCAGTAAAGTTCATTCATTCTGCAGGAAAATGACGCGCAAGTTCTTTGTTGGTGGCAACTGGAAGATGAATGGCGACAAAAAGTCGATAGATGGGATTTGTGCTTTTCTCAATCAAAGTGGAGGTGAGCAAATTTGCAGTTGCATCGTGACGAGCTCCATTTTTCCTTTCATTTATCCATATTTTTTGTATGGCGTCAGTAATTTTATTTGTAATTGTATCCTTAGGGCTATTACTACTACAATATCTGCCATCCAGCTTTCCATGCATATGACCTTTAAACAGGTAGAGATGTAAACCCTTCAACTGT